TAAAGAGTAAGACTTTGTTAAATCACACTTCGACATGGTCTCACTTGAGTTTTGATGAGTGCTGAAATATTCTCTCACTCTGTTTTATTTGTTTTATATCCTCATTTTGCACTGTTGGAGGAGCAGTGACATACGTTTTTCATTTCCATATCTACACTGTAGCTAATGTGCACATGAAAATAAAACCTTGAATTGAATTAAATTACTGTTTCACTAACCGTGGCTGTTGTCAATCACTGCTTATTGATCATTAAGCCTGGGAGAGCTAAGCTTATAATACATGAATGATCCCTCACTTTAGTGGTGATGTTGGTGATGAATACACAATATATTCCAGAATTAATAAAAAAGAATTGTACCTGTGACTATTTATAAACTGATTAATGATTAATATCAGATAGCATATAGGCCATATATTATTGATTACTTACACCAAAAATGAAGGTAGGTCTATAAATAGGTGCACTAATACAACAGTGATTAAACAGTGATTTTAAATTGGCTTGTCATGATTAACGTCAGTGATTAAGGTTAAATAAAGGGGATAAGTTACTTGGTTTATATTAGTTAATATCCATTGATTTAATTAGTTATAGATCAGTGGTTAGTTATTGATAATTTATTGATTGCTAACCCCGGCTGTTTTAAGTTATAGATGCTGTCCATCACTCAGAGGTGTTTAATTATTGATCCCTTACCTCAGCAGTGATTATTTACAGATAAGTAATTGATTACTGACCCTGGCTGTGTCGAGGAGTTGCAGCAGCTCGTCTCGACTCGAGGGGTTCAGTGAAACCGACACCCAGGTCAGGTGACCGAGGAACTGAATTGAGAGGACAAAGGTCAAGCAATTATCAGAAGGTCAATAATGACTTAAGTATGTTCTGATTTATCGTTGCGTATCTCAGGTTCTACCTTGACCTCCTTCTCGATGTAGTCGAAGATCAGCCTCTCAGGGTGGATGAGGTAATCGGGGGGGTAAAGAGGGACGGTGTGCAGCGGGCGCCGGTAAATGCTGCCTCGATCCAGCTGCCTGCGACCAGATTTTGACCAGACAAGCCGCTTAATAGGAGAGACAAAGCTCTGAGGAGACAGAGAAGAAGAGATAGACATGGGGACAAAGTGGAAGATAGGATAATACGATATTTAGATAAGATATACAGATGATTTGGTGGATCCAATACTTTGGTTCAAAGTCATATATTTCACAGTAAGTAAAAGGCAACCACGCACACTTGCTTTGTCTCCTTTGTGGTGCAGGGAATGAATTACCCCAGAGGTTCAATATCAAAGAAGTTCATGGAAGTGACATTTCAGTAACATGCCCTTACTCAACACATATAAAACATCTGGCGAAATAAACTAAATCAATGTAGAGGTGAAATGTGTGTGTGGAAATGTACTTTTACATAACAACTCCTATCATAATTTTCTTACAATTATCTGTGTAGTGTGTGTTCTACCAGAAACCCAGAATAAAAATATCGGTACCACTTTACAATAAGACTACCCTTCTAAAGGCTTTACAAATAGTTTGTAATTCATTTATTAATTAGGTTGTGAACACTTTATAAATCATTAATACACTTTTATAAGACATGAGATAAACAGGGCAACTGTGACCGGTTGCTTGCCAAATAGTGAGCCCACATTTATCTGTACTGCCTTATTAGAAATGGTAGTAACTCATTAATAAATGGGAATGTGTTTTACACTTTACAATAAGGCTCCCTTTTGGCAGTTACAAATGTTAGTAACTCAGAAATAAATGGCCATAAAGAGATGCCAAGAAACATCAAGATGGATGGGGAGAATCAACTCAGTGAACAACAGATGCCAAGGATGCTGGCTGATGAAGAAGACGTCAGCTAGGTAGCTAATATAAGGCTTAGTCATCTTGCCAAATAGTGAGCCTGTGTTGATTTATGAAAACTATGTTAGAACTGGTTTATAAATGGTTCTTAATGATTAATAAAGTGTTTACAACCTAATTCATAACCTAATTATAAACCCTTTATGAATCCTTAATAAGGGTAGTCTTATTGTAAAGTGGTACCAAAATATCTAACTAAAATGTAGCATAATAGGCTCCTTTAAATGTTAAGTTTCACTAATTGTAAGTCTCCTAAAGTTACTAAATTATGAATATACTTTTTACACACTTTAGTATTCTGGCTTTAACTTTCCAGCAGTCTCGGAAAGGGTGTTTTGGGTTGAATTTAAATCAGAACATCATTCAAAATGTTTGATTTGTATGGCACACATGACTCAGTGTGTGTGTGTTTGTGTATGTGTTACTGCAGCACGTCCCCTCGGCTGTTCGTAGAGTGATTGACAGGTGAGCAGTGATCTCTGACAGCTCCCTGCTGAGATGCACTGTCAACACAGCACACACTGTTAGACACCCGCTGACTGACACACGCAATCACACATTAATTAACTGTGGCTGGAGGGAATGAGGCGAATGGACATTATCACACATACACACACTGAATAAAGAGAGGAAATTAGTTTGTTATGGAATTTAAAATGTGTCTTTCTTTTTGAAGAACAAGGGCAGATTTCTCAAAACGAGGCTGCTTTCTGATGAACATCTCTGGACTCAGCTGAAAATGTAGGACAGAGAATATTTTTAATGAGTTTTGTTCTTCCTCTCGTTCCTGTGAGGTTTTTGAAACAGAAAGAGGTATTTAATTGGATTTTGTGATGAATTATTGTAACAACCTGTGCATGTCAAAGAAGTTGCTGTAGAGCTAGTTAATACTGCCGTGTTTGCTTTCTCTTCTTCTTTTTATAACTTACAATTGTTCTCCCTATTAAATAAAGGTTTTTCTTTTCGATGTTATGTGTCTGCTTCTCAAAACTTGAAGCAAGCTGACCACATTTATGGTTATCATCGGTAATACTGTAGTACAGCATGTGCAGTATGCTGCATGTGTACGTCATCATGCAGAAACCATGTGAGGTCAGGTAAGAAAACATGGCTTGGGAAATCATTTTTAAGAAAATAATTTGTACTTTGAACAAATCATTATGTTTGCATTAGCTCTGGTTCCTTCAAAGGTCACCATAGCCAAGAAGAGTTTACTATTGGTCAAGAGTACTCATTTGAATCTCATAGTTTACCAAAAAGCAACGCAAAAGATTTACACAGATTTAAAACAACCTCACAAGTGAACACACATTCCAACAGGATGCATTTAAATTAACAGATTTTGCCACAACATGTTTTAAATGTCGCCACTGTTCAAATACCGTAAACTCATTTTATTTTTTGATAGGTTAGTGACACACAAAGTGAAACTGTTAAATAATCCACTGTGTGCATCTACTCTAGCTTGATTGGTTTATCCTAAGTTAAAAAGACAACATCTAAACATCTACTGCTTCAAAATAATACAGTCCCAATATGCAGTTGGATGATGACATAGGACTAGACTTCCTCTGGAGAAAGTTTAAGAACAAGTCACCCACTTCCAAATGACGGAAAAGTGGAAAATGCTGAGACAGAACAGAAGAAAGTACCTTCTTGGATTTCTTAGGTTCATAGTCCATCACGGTTAGTCTCCCCTCTGGGTAAGATGAGTCCTGTAAGTGCTCACTCTCTTCCTGAATGTATTTCTTTTGTTTCAATTTGCCTTTTGATTTCTTTGGGTCTGTCTCTCAGTTTGTTTTTCCATTGTTTCTTCTGAGTCTCCGTCTCTCTCCGTTCATGTTATTTAAGCCCCCGTCTCGTCTGCTTCATTCTTGTTCTTTCTGTTTCTACACTGATTGTTCTTTTGAGAACACACACACACACACACACACACACACACACACACACACACACACACACACACACACACACACACACACACACACACACACACACCTATTGTCAGGGTAACCGTGGTTGGAGCACTTAACGGCTTAACGATCGTCCAGTTACCTTGGCAACGGTGGGGCATTTATCTTTTGAACGTTTTTTTTTTCTTTTCCTCTCTCTCTCTCTATCAAGAAAGTTCTGCTCTTCTCTTGGATCTTCACCAACTCTTAAGTAACAGATAAACTACAATAAAACATGATTTTAATGATATAACACATATAAATGATTCAACAATCAGACCAATTCAGCCAAAAGGACAGGCTTGGTATTGTGCATATCATTTTATACATATTAGGGAACATGCTGTCAAAGCCTATAGCATTAGCAGTGTTTCCCATGGCAACAGTTAACTGACATCTAAGAGCCAGTGTTGCTCGGAAACAAACTGTCAACGTCAGGGGCAAACTACTAACTGGAGTTTATCCCAAAGTATGCAATACGATACAATCTTCTCCTTCAATTTTGTTTCACTTTTATGCACTTCTTCAAGATATTTTAGCAACACATCTCAGCGTGATCAGGTCCTATCCCATGATGTCCCAGCTGGCAAGCGTTTTAGCATCTATTGTTATTAAAATAAACCAGTAAGTATATTTCTACAGTAGTATATTTGTTTCTTCTTTCTAGTTTGGCTTACACACACATTTCATAGTCATACCAAAAAAATGCACATACACATCAGTATACATGTACAGTACTCACCTGCACTTGATGTTCTCGCACTCTTTGACACACACCTTTGTGCACACACATCAATCAGGCTTGTGTTAACTTCAAAGAACATCAGACCTTAAAAAGTGTTGGCGCTGCGTGAACTCTGTGTGTTTTTGCAAGTGTGTGTATTGGAATACTAGTGAATTTATGCTTGTACTTGTGTGTGTGTGTGTGTGTGTGTGTGTGTGTGTGTGTGTGTGTGTGTGTGTGTGTGTGTGTGTGTGTGTGTGTGTGTGTGTGTGTGTGTGTGTGTGTGTGTGTGTGTGTGTGTGTGTGTGTGTGTGTGTTTGGCACATCAGTGTTATTAGGGAAGCAACATCCTTAAGAGACCGCAAGTTCAAAATCATAAATGAGGTCTGACACTAGAGGAGAGGGAAATAAACATGGAAGAGATGGCAGGTGGAAGCAGCGAGGAGGAGAAAGTGAGGGAAAAATGGAGAGGAAAAAAAGGAGGAATACAAGTTGGAAGTAAAAGGGGCTAGACGGGGAGAGAAAGATCAAATAAGGGGGAGGAAGAAGGACACAGGTGAGGAAGGAAGGAAAGGAAGAAGAGGAAGTCCGGTAAAAAGGGGATGAAGACTTGAAAGAAGTGAAGGATGGAAAATAAGGAGCAAGGGAGGAAATTATGAAGGTGGAATGCAACAGCAATAGCAGACAGACTAGATTAATGCAATAAAACAAAACTAAATGTATAATTGGATGGAAATCAAAGGAAGGCATTAGGAAATGACTAAAAAAGGAAGGAGGGATGAGACAGATAAATCAAAAAGGATGACAATGAAATGAATCAAAGGTCGAGAGAAAAACAGGAATACCATAATGGTTGTGGACGGAGACATAAAGAAATAGAAAATATGTGATACAAGAAGTAAGGAGGACTGAAGAACGGAAGGGCTGATGGTAGTTTAAGGAGGTAGTGAGAGGAAAAATAAGGATGGATTAGAGTGTGAGGGACACTCAGCTCTGATCCCCTTCTGTCAGCTAGTCAATGACAAAAAGAGAAGAAAACAGACTGAAAACAGTGAAATGACAGAAAACAACACAACAACAAAAACACATAGAGGAGAAGAAACATAGAAGGATGGATTGTTGTTTGGTTGCTGGATCTCCAGAGACGCCGGCCAAATAAATACCAAACCCTCAGGGTGGATGATGCTAGAAAGAGAGATCAAAGGATGTTGGTTTGAGGGAGAGATCTTGTGTTGTCGCCTCGTGAGGAAAGAGAGAGGAGGGCTGACAAGAAAGAAGAGAAAGGAGGCGGGACATTCAGAGGAGAAGGTTGGTGGAGCTCCAGCTTCAGCTCCGCCTCCAAACATACAGAAAACCATGGTAGGTAAGAAACAGAAATGATCCTGTCCCAGTGGAGATATAATGTTGGACAAAGAGTGAGGGGGGTTTCTAGAACCTGTTGGATTAAAATTAAGTAACAAAAACAATTCTGAATTTGAGATCAATCTAAGTTTGGCAGCTATAGCGCATTGTTTTATGAGTGTAACAATGTCAATCGAGCACCAATAAACTGACGATTCGTACAAATTGTTCTGTCAAGTTTTTGCTCACAGACAGGTAACTGAAAGTGATTGGCTGAGACGCCTGTCAAGCCAACCCCTAAATATCATGCTTTAGGCCTAACAATCGAAACAAGTAATCACTGAAGTGGTAACACCTTTTCTAAAAAGGATGCCTGGACATGCAATAGCTTGATTTATATTGCCTGTTCATTAACATCATGTATTCAATGGTAAAATAATGATATTTTTTATGTTTAAAATGTAACTATTTTGTTCCTGGAAGTATAAAAACAACATCTTTTTTACATTGATAGTCTGCATTGGCATCTTGATTTGTTATGGCACCAAATCTGTTTTCCAGAAATTACAGTTATTCACTTTTCCACAGCATATACACTTTGAAGGAACGAAATGCTGCCCAAAGCATATTTCTTTTATCAACATAATAACAAAAACAACACATTTACAACACATTTAGTTAATTTTGCAAGTCACGAAATGTGCCAATTGTTTACCCAATTGCAAATCCTCACACAATACTCCTTTCATTGGATTCAAATGTTACATTATCAAAAGCCAAATAGGTAACAATGTAATAAACGTACAAGTTCAATTTATTGAGTAATTAGTTACTGTCCCATCTCTGGCCGTGACAGAAAACGCAGACACAGCGGTGTATTTCGACGGCTGTTCAGCCATGTTTACTACAGTTTTGTTCCCATCTACAGTTATCAGCACAGCTTGCTGAGTTTTTTTGTTTTTTTATAACAGCGTCATAGATATTTTCACCACTGGTTTATTTTTCTGCTCGATCACTCAGAGGATGTTTAAGCAGCATTATCAAAAGAACTTAGAGCACATCCTCATACTGTACATACAATACATACATACAAACCAAAGCACACGTACTCATACATACACATCCTAGTATAGCGCCACTCTGGTATATACAGATATATAGGATGAGTTAAAAAAAAATCTATTTTCAGTTTTTACATCTTAATATAAGAGTCATACCAAAGACATGGCCACCGAGTGAGTAAACAATAGATAAATAGATATAAAACAAATACAAAAATAAATAAACATAAATACTTGCATCAATTAATAAAAGATGATTTGAGTTTTGAACTCACTTACTTTTTAACATGTTTTTGTTCAAGTTGATATACAGTATAACCAGCGCACCACTTTTAACGGTTATTTTACCTCAACGACAAAGGACTGATTTATTATCCAATCAGAGAAAGAGAAGCTTCGCCCTTGGCCTCAGACTGGTTAGTTCACATATGCATTATCTGTACATTATCATGTTTGACATGACATAATCAGTGTCGACATAGAGGCGTTGTTTTCAGCACCATTAACATTGCAGTGACTGTCACCACTGTACCAACATCCACAAGTTCAGGTAGGACACAACACTGTCAGGATAATACAACTATAATTACCAAGTTATTACCAATATTCATTATTTATTTGTTATCCTGATTTCTGATATTCCCGTTACCACCAAGCAGAGTCAAAATGACACAACAGTTTCCCTGCAAAGGAGAGCCACATCTGTGTGAGGAGAGCTTAGATAGACCTTTTGTCCTTGCCTTCATTGGGAATAACATCCACAAACGTGTTGAGGGACAGAGCGTTTATACACTTGCTTCTAACAATGCACAAGTTTGCATAATGGTCACACTGTATACCCAGTGATCCTTTAAAGCATCAATGCAAGATACAATTGGAAACATGAACAGTGCAGGCAGGGCAGCAGGTTTTGAAGACAATCTAAAAGAATATTGTAATCATTGTAATGACGTTGAACATCAAAAAAACCCTTTCAAGGAAGATGTTCTGTGAGCTGGGGATGATTCACACCGAGCATATACATGTTTTAATTCCCTAGGTAGATTTCAAATCATGTAGGTAAGTATATGAATAATTATCATGTCCGACCTCAACCCTGCTTGCATCACAGCCGCTTGTTAAAAAGCAAGTATATAAACTGCTCTCAAACGCCGTTTCCAATGCATGGTATGTCTTCATTCGACTCAACTTGACTCACTTTTGGAACCAGGCGTTTTGTTTTTAGTTTTGTAGATCAGCTGTTGTCCGTAGTGACACACGGGAGTTCTCGTTGAATTTCGATTGAGTGAGAAAAAGAGGATTGCTATGACGGTACTTTGTTGCGACACGCTAGTGCTGTTTCTTTTAAACCAATCAGTGGTCTTCAATTATGTAACGTCAACTTTTAGTATTGCCGTATGCATGAAACCCCGGCTGAGCTGCTACCAAGTATTGTCTTCAATTTTCCTTATGGCAAACCAAAAATAAGTGAGTGGATACAAGCAGAGCCATACCATGTAGTGGAAACACTGCTTAGTGATTTGCTCTTCTCATTAACCTCAAGTATACATACGTTTGAAAACGCTTTGCTTGGGAGTCTTTGACACATCAAAATATACATACGCATCATCAGCATTAAAGGGATAATTACACCCGCACTGGATACTGCACTGTTTGAGTTTTGAGAACTTTATGACCCAAAAAAGTAAACTACGTTGCCCAAATCATGTTCTTGTTATTCGCCGTCAGGTCAGAGTTGGCGAACAGATTTATACGTGCTTGTTGTTGAGCTGATTTTCTCAGTTTTTACACTTAAAATGTTGATGGTAAGCCTGCACCAAGTTTGAAAAGGGTGAGGGAAGTGTCAAAATGTAAGTTGTAATGCCATTTTTAGTCATTGTTCTTGATAGCAGATTGTTATGACTGTGCTTTAATATTTTTGGGATTTGTGCTCGTGTCAGTCAACCCTGAAGTGGTAACCCCCTGAACATTGGCATCTTCTAAATGCTTGATGGTATGTGATGTAAGAATCTTGGTAATTCAGCAACTAAGTTTAATAAACAAATAATTTCATGAACCGAAATCATACACTGTCCAATGCATCTTCAAACGTGTTTAGATGAACATGCTTTTTTGAGATAAAACCAGGATCACATGGGGAATGTAATGTTCTTGGGAGAAATGCTTTTGAGTGCATTGCTAAAAATGCTAACACCTTCTGCTGCCTTTATCTAAAACAATCACAACATTGGTTTAAATGTTTCTGGGATGGACTTAAAGAACTCCCACACCATAACAAATCACAAGTCACCTTAAATGCACAGACTAACGCTAAAGGCTTTTAAAGAAAATAATGTATTTTAGAATAACTTCAAAGAGAGACTGCCAATGAGAAATCTGATGTGTAGTATGAGAGAGGACACATCAGCATTGAGGCTAGTGTTTTCCTTCACTACTGGTGCTGACCATGCTTGACTTTCTCAGCACCTCTATGTAGCTGCTTCCAAACACATTCACACTTTTAAACTTCAACCGCTGAAGTTAGTTGCAGATAAGCTCCACTGAATTAGTTCAAGTTGTGGCTCCTCTCTTCAGGGTATCACAACCCTAACGGCCCGTCCACACTACAGCTTCGACAGCTTCAAAAACGGTTTCCAACGCGTCTGCCCATTCACTTTGAATGGGGTGACGTCACGTTGCCTCGCTTTTCGCCGAACTGAATTGTGGGTAGCAGAGCGGAGCTTTCCTGGCGTTTCAGGCTGCAAAAGTTGAGCAATGTTCAACTTTTGAAGCTTCTGAAGCTTTCGGTGGAAGCGTCAGCCAATCAAATCATATGCCAGTACAAGCCCTAGCCAATCAAACCGCTGCTTGTGTGTCAGGGGCGGGAGGTTCATGTGATTGGTTGTTGGTTAAGCTTCAGACACGCCCGCCGGCAAGCTTTTTTTGAAGCTATAGTGTGGACGGGCCGTAACCCTTTCAATCACAGTTTAAAAGGAGCAAAGATGGTTTCTCATATCATTTTTCAGTCAGTTGACAGATTATGTCACTCAAACCTGAATCTGCCAATATCGACGTGAAGTCAAAGGCCTGTATATGGTTTTCGTTTTGTAAACAATGTCACCTCTCAAGAAGTGCAAACCATCGTCAACTTTCTATCTGTAACAACATATAGCAGCTTTTGCCAACTTGCTAGCCTTTAAAAAGCAATCCTGGTTCTTTGAGCTGTTGTTATCAATTTTCTTGTGTTAACTGCTTACTAGATGAATCCTAGTGTTGTTACTGTAGGATGCATCCACGTTTTAACAAACCTTTTCGAGTCCTCAAGGTTTGATGACATGGTTATAAGCTAATTTCATCAGCTTCTGTTCTGTCCAAAAACAAAACACTGGAAAATGTTTTCATAGCATAATGAGGTTGTTCATGATTCCCTTCATACCTTTACATTAAATGTTTTCCAAGAAAAATGGACGACATTTAGACTCTTACGAGTAAATGAAGCTTCTTCATCCAAACGTCATTCATCACCTAACTACAGCTTATTATAATAGCTTATATCTGACATCTGTATTTATTCTACTATACATCACAGGCCTGTTTGTGGTGAGTTACAGCATGCCATATGATGGGAGCCATTGCAGAAGTCATCCACTTTACATCCAGTCCAGATTTATTTTCCCAAACAAGTCCTTTCTCAGGTTGTGGGGACAGAGCAGCTGGGATGTAAACAGTAGGACTTTTGCGATGGCTTTTTTTTTCAATCACATATGGATGGGTGACCATTATCACTTGAATCTCAGGCTTTTTCAGAAACCATATGGACTTGTGAGCCTATATTTAATGGGTTCTCTTGGTGTCATGAGACTAAAGTTAAATGTATGAGAGTACATTTCTCTTTAGACACCACCAACAGAATGCTTGAAGGTTTGTTACCGAAGTTTGCGAGGGACATGCAACCGTTTGAAACAGGACGGTACACAAATGTAAAATGTTATCCCTCTCTCCTTGCTAAATAACAAACAATAATCGATACAAAATCTATAGACTCAATTGACATTGAATTAGAGATTTGGAGGTACAAAGAAATCTAGAGGCCTTGGTTAAAACTGGGCTAAATGTGGTTGAAACAAGACATCTAAAGCAATATGTTTTGGCTATATATTATATTGGGTAGTGAGCCCCAAATGTAGGTCATTATCTGAGTTGCCATCAAACCAAATGATTGCATGTCCCGTGCAAAGCCTCTAAAAGTTCCCTGGTAAGTCTCTGTAGGCTCTCTGTGGCCCACGGCTCATGTTCATGCAGCAAACTGTTTCTCAGATATATCAAACTCCACAACTTCATCGCTCTCAAGTCCTTTTACTCCTTCTTCTGACCATGCAGGATGAAACTAAATCTAACATTCCTTGGTCCCAGGATGAGAGATTACATTTCTCACCAAAGATTATCCCAGTTCAGTGTTTCTCCATTTACTTCCTACGACTCATTCATGCTACGTACTCCTGGACTGCGCCCTAAGGGGGAGAGCTTTGGTCCCAGATTGCACCTCACATTTTACAATCAAGTTTTGACAACCTCTTTTTTTAATGAAGAGTTGCCTGACACTCTGTGTCTCCTTTAACATGCTGCTCCTGGCATAGGTTGTCCTGGGATGAGAACTGATCTCTCGGCTGAGCCTTGGTCCCAGACTTCACTTTTAAGTTTAAAGCCCCTGCTGGCTTAGACAGTGGTCTCATATTCTAACACCTCTTTGCTGCCCATCATGCTACACCTGTACTGTATCCTGGGGCTGACGGCTGACGTGGTCTCCAATATCAGAATGGTCTTGCGGAGGCGCCGATCAATAAAGTGTGCATCCCAGGCTGGGTATCGCTTCCTCGGTAGGTCAATCCGGATCACAGGGCCTTCCTGGGCGCGGGATGATGAGGAGGTCCTGTGAAGGAGCGCAGGAGAGGATGAAGGGGAGGGACGTACCTGGAAGACAGGAAGGCAACTGTCCCTGTCTCGGTCCTTGTCTCTCTCCCCTGGAACCGGCTCCCCCGTGTCTTTAGTCCTGGGGAGGGTCCTCGGAGGGCTGGTAATAACCATGTCGGTTTGCGACCCTTGGGATGGGGTGATGCAAGAATCAATCACTCCCGCTACGCTTCCCGCACCCACCACACCCTCGTCCACACACCCTCCCCACTGCGAGCCCAGCACTGGCCCATCAGGGTGCAGCCAGCAGTAGTACACCAACATGAAGAAGGTTCCCAGGGCGAAGCTGCAGGCCACCAGGCACACCACCACCAGGGCGGAGGAGTCGGAGGTTTGCTGGCCGCGGTACGTGTACCAGGCGGCGGTCAGCGCCACGTTTTCTGCCAGCGTCACAGAGTAGTAGACGGTCATACGAAAGCGACTCTGGCCCTCTTTGACATTAAACCAGCAGAAGATGTAGATGATGCCCACCACCATGTTGTAGATGATCTCCTCCCACTTGGACATGCAGAAGTCGGTCTCACCTTGGATGATCCAGAAGGTCATGACACACCTGAAAGACAAAACTGTAGTCAGCTCCTGTGATTTTTATAATGACAAGAATAATGTGTTTACTTAAAATACTTTTAATGACTTTGAGGTTACACTAGTTTCACAAAGCCAGGCCATTCCTCATCTCAAAGTAGATAAAGTCTTCCTCCAAACATTGTTATTTTGGCATTTATTTTTGTTCTTGTTGTTGTTGTTGTGTTTCAACATCAAATAATTGTTCAGTATTTCATAAATTCCATTGCTCTTAAGGCCCCTAATTTGGAAAAAGTCTGCATAAATAAATAATCTCCTACTTCTGCTGGTAAACCTGCTGTTGAGATACAAGATGGCAGATATTTGTTTAATTTAAATTCAGTCAATGTTCGCAGAAAAACATTAACTCATTAACTCAAAGGATAAAAGAAACCTCTGATATCTGTTAAAAATGTGATATAAAGTGTTCATTCTAAGCTTGTCATTGTGGACCCAGACTCTTTGCATGAGGTCACTTAGGGCGCACCAGTGGCTGACGATGAATATGCCAAAGTAGAGCTGGAAGACGGAGGCGAAGAGGGCAAAGGCCACAGTCCTCGCCCCGATGGTGAAGAAGTGCCACAGCATCTGGGTGATCACGGCCTTGTAAGACATCGACAGCTTGTCGTCGCGGGAGTCTCGGAGAACCTTCTGGTACGAGGCGATCATCCAGGCCAGAGAGACCAGGGAGGCCGAAGCCGAGAGACCTGCAGACACACAGGAAGAGAGAGACAGAGGAAAACAGTATGAGGAGGGGAGGGACACAAATAGAAATACATTTTTGTGATGAAGGGGGAAATGAAAGAAAGAAAGACATTGACATGAAAACCAAAAAGAAATACATGATACCATAATTGTTGGGCTGTCAACTCTAATCAGTGACATTGTTAGGCAGAATTATATCCAACGTTTTGCAGATATATTGGTATTTTACATGTTGGCCAATCAGTAACAAGGAAAAAAGGAACACAAGTACAATATATTTGTAAGGTAGATGATGCAAGTGAGTCCTTGGGGGAAAAAAAACCTTGGGAAGACCATGACAAAAATGAAAATAACTCAACTTACATGCTTTACATGCTCATTCAGAAGGACCCAGACCAGTCTCTACTGAAGTCAGACGATCGTCAGCCCGCACATGTAACTGCGAGCCGCCCAGAGCGCAGATTAATTCATTAAACATTCATGGTCGTTAATCATGCAGTTTTGTCTCAAATTAGCAATGAATCACACAAGAAGGCATTAAAATGTGAGCAGGGTAAGATCTGCATGGACTTTGCATTTTAATGTAATTTTCATGACCCAATGAAGACACCAAAGAGAAGTTAAATATTGTTCGCATGTTGAAACTTACTGATATTTGAGTTAGATATTTACCAACACTGTTGAAAACCAGTTTCAGCTTTAACTAGTTTTAAGGTCAAAATGGTGTCTTTTAACGGGAAAAAAGTAAGTCTGCAGCTATGTACTTTTCCTTTATTCATTAAATGTGTCTTCTAATGGCCACATTTTTTCTTGGGATTTAAGTGTGTTTGTCAACTCCAGCTTATGCTTTTTGAGAAAAATATTTATTTATTTTTTATTTTTTAAGAACGCAGAAATACAACATAAAAAGTGTTGGAAACACGTTTTTCACAGTAGGTTGCACTTCATCATTGAGTAATTGGTTGCATATTTTAAAATTGTGTTTGAAGGATTGTGACATTTAGATAAGATATTTTTGTACCAGCGTCATTCAGGAACAATTTTGACTTTCACAAAAACATAATTGTCTTACATGTTGCAAGCACACATACAAATAATCGCCTCCTGCTGATATTAACATTGATAAACCCGACCTACGTGTACAAGTTAGACACATTACATGACATCATTCCAGGACTGCAGCTTGAGAAAACATATTACAGCAGCTACAGAATAAAATAACCCAAAACCAAGAGGATTATGGGTAGAAAAAGACAGATGAAGCCTTTTTGCTTGGAAAGCCCAACATATTTCAACACTTGCAGAAACTGGAACCAGCACATGTTAAGGATTTATACTTAACAGATGACACATCATTAATTGGCAGTACAGATAGTTTATTCATTTTTGGATGATGAATAAATCAATCAGCCAAATCCGTACCGAGAGGATGCAATGTGTGTAGGGCAGTCTGTATTGTTTAATGGACGTGCCAAAATGTAGAAACATTATGTCTATTAACAGATAGTAACCATCAGGCTTGGGGAGTAACCGATTACATGGATTACGTAATCAGGATACAACAATTGTATTCCCTTACATCTCTATTGGACTCCTCCTTTTACTTCTGTAACATATTGACATCAATATGATTAGCGCTCCAAAACATTGTACATGATAGGCTCAGGGGCGGGACATCGCTTAGTGGTTGACCAATCACTGCAGAGCCGGCCAGCTAACCAATCAGAGCAGACTGGGCACTCTCTCAAACAGAGGGGAAAAAGAGGCAGTAAAAATAAAGAGAGAAAAATTAAGCACTTTTCATAAAAAACACAAATATTAACCTGAACATAAGCATAATAGGGCCCCTTCAAGTTAAAAACATGTTGATATTTATTTTCTCTTTTATTTATTTGCATCACATTTGATCTTGAGATAATCCAGAAGTAACAGAAAGGATTCAGGTTACATTACTTTTATATCTTGATAGTCAGATTAGGTTACTGATAACATCTTTAACCAGGTCATTAGTTATTGTAATGGAATACTTTTTTTAAGTAACCCTCCCAACTATTGTTACCGTACATAGACCACAAATTGTGTGTGTGTGTGCATCGATATTTCCTGTGAGCACTATAAAGGCAGAGATGGAGGAGAGAGAAAGAGAGGAAACGAGGCAAGATCATAATCAACCCTCATTTTCAAATGTCACATGGAGAGAGATCATATCTTCAGGAAGAGTTAACAAATAATTACTTCATCGTACCCCCGGGGGAGAGCTGCTGCCAAAAAGTTAGGCTAATTTTAGCCACATTACAGCATGTAATGTAGCTTCCATAAATTATATTATGCCACACCGAGTGTTGTCAGCCACTGTCCCCGGTGTCCTCTCGTAGCATTTTGGTGTTGAATAACTAACAAATGATGCATATCTCTCAGTGTGTAAAATGGGTTTTTGTCAGAGACGTGTTTGTGTAGCTTTTTTATGTGTCCTGCAACTGTTTCCACTTTACAATTCAATGTGTGTGTGTGTGTGTGTGTGTGTGTGTGTGTGTGTGTGTGTGTGTGTGTGTGTGTGTGTGTGTGTGTGTGAGTGATAGAAACACAGTTTTGTTTTATCCATCAAAGGCCAAGCTTCTTGTGTATCTTGCAAGGAATGCATAAATAAAGCATAGACTATCCTACTGATATCTGCCCACCACACACACACACACACACACACACACACACACACACACACACACACACACACACACACACACACACACACACACACACACACACACACACGCACACACATTCTGTCTAATTACAAAACTCGTATCCTATATTTATAATTTTAAAATCTTATTTTTATATATTTTTTCAACGATATTAACATTCTAGTCAAAACATTAATTGTCGTAAAGTGGTTCAAATAATCTGGTTTGTTTGCATCCCTTGTTGCTCAGTCTGACTTCCTTATAGTGATATTGATAACTGATGTGTCACACCTCTCACAGTGGGACAGGAAGTGTGTGTGGCTCACCTTGCAGAGGATGCACGATGTTCCCGTGGATCATGATGCTGAGCTGCAGGACGAGCTGCGGGGCGGACTTCAGGAAGGCTTCCAGGAGCCGCAGCATGGTGATGTCGGCGCTCTCGAACATCAGCCGCCAGTGGAAGTGGTGGAGCGGCCCACTCCTGTGCCAGCGGCTCTGGGCTCCCAGGTAGAGGGCGTGGATGTACCTGAGGGCGACAGGAAGTCATGTTTAATAATGGTGCTTGTGCTCGTTCTTTCTTTAATCACTCAAGCGTCTCCATGTATCAACATTTCATTTTTCAGGAAGTTTCCAAAGGGGAAATGTGTACATTAATCTTCGCCCCCACGATTTCTTTATTTTTATTTTCTGTTGCAATTTGAACATTCAGATCTTCTTCAAGCAGAAAAAACTCTTTCAAACACAAAATAATATAGACAAATCTCAGAATCTGCAACATGGGACCAAACTGAAAAGCCATTGGCAGCCATATGCACCTTCAGAAATAAATAAAGAGATAATTAAACACAGGTAATACTAATGTTGGTGCAAGAGTATATCATGACTAGGGATGGGTATCGTTAGGATTTTATCGATACTGATACCGATACTGCTTATCGATACCGGTATTTTTCGATACTCTTATCGATACTTTTCAATAATTTGGTGCTCAAAATTATAGACATGAATACAAGATGTGAAGATTAAACAGTAATTGTATTGTAATTTTCTTGCACAAATAACTGTATAACTTATACATTAGCTTCTCAGAAGCAGACACAAATAAATAAATACTTAAAGGGGCCTGGCTTGCCCTGTCATGCTTTTTGGGGTTTTCCCTCCAAACAGAGGATGTAAGAGGCATTTTTTAACTATTGTAAATCAGTTACATCTTCATCCAGACATTTCAAACTGACAACCTAGCTCGACAAGAGATCCTTAAAACATTGTCCTACAGTGACATCATGCAAAACTGTGATATGAAGAAATTGGTCAAAAGGCTAAGATGGCAAAAAGATAAAGGCNTAATGATCGATCATCAGTAATCATTTTAAAGTTACACAGAGACATTTCATTAACCGTTTTTATGCCCTTGAACACAACTTTTGATCACAAAACAGCAAAGGTAAGACATAATTATCATCATGGCTAGGTAAAGTGAAGTTGTTTTCTTGCTCATTCCTGGCTGCTAGTTCAGTGAGTTTTGGTCGGACAGTGATGAGACCAATGGAATCTGTGGATTCTCAGCTTCCATGTGATATATTGTTTGTGTCGATAAAATGACATAGAAAAGATCGCTTTTGCCAGTTATGTGCTAAAGTAGCAGTTAGCCCCGTTAGCCCTATTTGCTAAGTGTTGATTTAGACTCTTGGTGTTGGACTTCTGTTCTGTGTATGGTAAAATTGTTAATATCATCTGGTAGCTGAGTTTCTTCACGTTAAGTGGGTATGCATCATTAATAGGTTGTTAAATGTTAAGAAGCCTTGAGACGCTGTTTCTAGCAAGATGTTGCGTCCGCCCCTATGGTCTGCCCCCGGGAGTCTCACAATAATAAGAGCGCTGTTAGGAGAGATGACGAGTGGCATTCACAGTGGCCAATCAGAGTGGTACTCAAACCGGATACGCCACACGGGATGAGGGTTCCCAACCAATCAGAATTGTTTAAACTAAGGAAGTAGCGTAATTCATAGACCAATAGCAGCACCGTTTGTCCAGCGGCTTAACGGTATACCAATACCGTCCAATCAGGTACCGGTACTGACTTAGTACTGGTTCTCGATACCCATCCCTAATCATGACTAACAGTGAGAATCTCTGTTAACTCTAAGAGTATTGAATAACGATGATTACATAGTGTCTATATTAAGTAGGAATCATAATAATCAAATAAATATATAATATTATAAATATATAATATAATGTAGTTATACATTTTTTAAATCCAAGGTACAAAGTGCCTCAGAAAGGCAGTAAAATGTAAAACTGAAAAGTCCTAAATCATATTTTATAGAGGAAAAAACTATTTGGTGCCTATAGTATAAAACCAATATAGTGTGAAAAATGTTAATAATTGGGAACAAACGAAGATTTTTAGTGGAAATAATCGAGAGTGAAAAGGAAATGATATCAAGTAAAATCAGAAAGGCTCTCAGATAAAAGGATGTTTCAAGAAGGGACTTAACGGAGATTAGTGACGCCGACCTGTTTCCTCGGGCAGATTGTTCCAGAGCCTCGGGGCCCCGACTGTAAGCACTCTGTTCGCTTTAGTCTTTTAGCTGGGCCCTCAAGAACAAAACAGCATGAGAAACCTCAGCTGGAGGATCTTTTTATTTTATTTAACAACTCGGAGAACTCATTGAAGGAGAACTATAATGCTCAATCAGCAGCAACAGAAGAATGCATTGCTATATCAATAAAAAGCAATACAAGCAAACACTGTAATGGTCAATAAGACAAGCTATTAAACCTTTTATGTTATGTCATTTTAAGTATTATTCAAGCATACTCCAATTATGTGGGACAGAGTAACACACAAAGCAGATCTTCTTAACTCTCAGCTTCAGATCTGAGACGCATCAAGAGCTTGCTTCAGGTAAACAGTAATATGGTTCCTGGGACATTCACCAGATTGTTTAACTGCAAGTCTTCTGCATCTACAAGTGGTTTCCACAGGGACGTTGAAGATGTCTGGTGCTAAGTTTGATCGAAAATTGAACAATAATAGATGTGGAACCAAGCAATTAGGGAAGGAAAGAAGACCACTCTCCGAACTCAAAGTATGATACCAGCGCACAAACACAGAGGCCATTCAGAGCTTTACGAATAATCAACACGTTTTATAAATCCAATCATCTTCAGATAACTTTGTATATTCAAAGGAACTGGGAGAAATATCGAACAAGCAAATACAACTAAACTGAAACTGTAATTTAGTTGATATAACCCTTTAAAAGAAAGAGAAACTAAAACATTTCGACGCAAAATAATTTTCTTGCTACTTTTTTCAAATGTAGGAGATTTACATTTTCCGGTACCGTTACGTGTGCACCCTCGGACTTCCATAAAGCAGTCTGCTGTGCCTGTATGCATACAGGGAGTGATTTTATTATATGGTTGTGATAAACAAAATAATACCACTGACTGAGCGAGGCTTTTTTTCTTATAAAAATGGTCTGCTTTACTTACTGCATAGAGAGCAGCAAACTTCATTTAAACACAAACAGTGCACGGGTCTAACAGTATAACCTCTGAATGACATACAGGAGAAAATGTGAATCCTCAGAACACTTCTCCTGGGAGATAAAAACACCTCTGAATGTTGTGTGTTTCTCCAGGGAGACACCTCTACCCTCACCTGTCACTGTTCAGCTTTGATGTGCTTTCGTTTTCTTGTTTCTCTGAGTCAGAGACACTATTGGTTGCCGGCTTGCAGCGGGTCAACAGGCAAATGCTGGAGAATAATGTTTCGGAGAGTAATGTGGATGTGAGGAGAGAAGGGGCAAAAAGATCCGGATGAAAACTGTTTGTTGGGGGTTTTATTTTCACCTGCTGGTGCAACAAGAGGTCTGCATTAAGGAGACACTGCTGTCCTTCAGAAACAGGAGAGGAGTTCAATGCAAAAACAGAAGATCACTTTTAGGACTTTATGTTTGTATGATGACAAGCCAGGGTAGTGAAAAACACAAACAACCACTATTTGTGCTGTGGATTTTGCAGAAGTAACCACAAATCATAAAGACATCTTGCAGTAAAACACAGCAAGTACGTACATAAGTCAAACTAAATCTTTATTCTGTTTGTGTTTGAAGTTAAATCACTCCACCATCAACCTGAGTAAGATAATCGAACCTGTCAGTGCAGAAACATTTAGTTCTACCTTTGCGTCTTTTTATTTAAATTGATTGATTCTATAGAATAAATATTTGTACATTATTAAGATATGTTAAAACAGTGATCATTGAATGGATATGGTAGAATACAAATAAAAGTGTTTTTTTATTATTAAAACAAACTTAATATTCATATTTGTTTTCCTCTTTAGGACTTATATATAAAGTATAACAACTTGGTGAGGTAAATTGCTTATAACCAAAAACCCCAAGAAGACATTGCCTAATTTAACAGGGACACGTCTTAGATGGATAGATAGATGCAAAAAATGCTCGCTGAAGGGATGAATGTATAGGAAGGAGTGATGCATCATGGGAGACAAAAGGATGGCTGACAACTGTAGTAGTGCAGCAGACGAGTTGTGGAGGAGAAATGGAGCTCGCTGGAGGAAACTGAGACGACACTCACTTCCTGCACTTCTGCATCCCCTAGCAGATTTTAAATAGAGGGGTAAAAATAACACACACACACACACACACACACACACACACACACACACACACACACACACACACACACACACACACACACACACGCACGCACACACACACACACACACACACACACACACA